AAAAAATTATCATCCCTAAAAAATCATTATCCCCGAAAAATCATCCCCAAAAATTATCATCCAAAAAATCATTATCCCCAAAAAATCGTCATCCCAAAAAAATTATCATCCCAAAAATCATCATCCCCAAAAAATCCTCCTCAAAAAAATCATCTCCAAAAAATCATAATCTCCAAAATCATCATCCCAAAAAATCATTATCCCCAAAAAATTACCATCCCTAAAAAATCATCCCCAAAAATTATCATCCCAAAAATCATCATCCTCAAAAAATCATCCCCAAAAAATTATCATCCCCAAAAAATCATTGTCCCCAAAAAAATCCTCATCCCAAAAAATCCTCATCCCCAAAAATCCTCATCCCAAAAATCCTCCCCCAAATCCTGGGATGATCCCGGGGTGTGGGCAGTGGGAAAAGGGGGAATTTTGTCCCTCTCAGGTGAGACCTCACCTGCAGAGCTGCCCCAGCCCTGGGGATAAAAATGGAGCAAATCCAGAGAAATCCATGGAGCTGCTCCAGGAGCCGGCCTGGGAGAGCTGGGAATGCTCATATGGAGAGGAGAAAATTCCAGGGAGAGCTTCCAGAACATTCCAGGGAATAAAGGGACTCCAGGAGAGCTGGAGAGGGACTGGGGACAAGGGACAGAGGGACAGGACACAGGGAATTCCCAGGGGTGAATTCCCAGGGGTGAATTCTAGGGATGAATTTGAATTCCAGGGGTGAATTTCAATTCCTTGTGATGAATTCCGGGGTGAATTTGAGTTCTCTGTGGTGAATTCAGGGGTGAATTCCAGGGGTAAATTTGAATTCCAGGGGTGAATTCCAGGGATGAATTTGAATTCCCTGTGATGAATTCCAGGGGTGAATTTGAATTCCAGGGATGAATTCGAGTTCCCTGTGATGAATTCCAGGGATGAATTTGAATTCCAGGGGTGAATTCGAGTTCCCTGTGATGAATTCCAGGGGTGAATTTGAATTCCAGGGATGAATTCGAGTTCCCTGTGATGAATTCCAGGGTGAATTCCAGGGATGAATTCGAGTTCCCTGTGATGAATTCCAGGGTGAATTCAGGGATGAATTTGAGTTCCCTGTGATGAATTCAGGGGTGAATTCGAGTTCCCTGTGATGAATTCCGGGGTGAATTCCCTGCAGTCATTCCCTTCTCTCTGTGCTCCATTCCCAGCCCCTGGGATCCCGATCTCCCCGATGACGTGGAGGGGATGAAGCTGATCCTGCACATGTGGGTGGCTCTGTTCTACAGGAAGCCCAGCAAGCTCCTGAGCAGCTCCAGGAAAGTCGTGGAGCACATCAATCCCAAAAAATTCGTCTCCATCAACAGCTCCAGTGCCTTCCTGGAGCTCAGTGACGACAGCCAGGATTGCTTTGGCTTCGAGACGAGTCCTGCAGACTCTGGCTCAGATCCTGAGCAGACTCCCAGCCCTTCCCTGGGTCCCAATTCCTTGGATCCCAGCCCCTCTCTGGATCCCAATTCCTTGGATCCCAGCCCCTCTCTGGATCCCAGCCCTTCCCTGGATCCCAGTTCCTCTCTGGATCCCAGCACTTCCCTGGATCCCAATTCCTTGGATCCCAACTCCTCTCTGGATCCCAGCCCTTCCCTTGATCCCAGCCCTTCCCTGGATCCCAATTCCGTGGATCCCAGCCCCTCTCTGGATCCCAGCCCTTCCCTGGATCCCAATTCCTTGGATCCCAGCCCCTCTCTGGATCCCAGCCCCTCTCTGGGTCCCAGTTCCCTGGATCCCAGCCCCTCTCTGGGTCCCAGTTCCCTGGGTCCCAGCCCCCTTTCCCAGCCGCAGATCGCTGTGGGTTCCCGGCCGGGCACGGACGGAGCTGTGGCCAGCTCGGTCTCCTCCTCCTCCTCGGTGTTCTCCTCCTCGGGGGAGCTGCCCCATGAGGAGGAGGAGGAGGAGCCTTCCTCCCCCAGCTGTCGGCAGGGTTCCAGGGACGCTGGGGCCGAGGCGGGCAGGGAGCAGGAGGCTCCCCAGGATCACCCGCACCCCGAGGTGAGTCCGGCCCGGGGCTGCGGCCAACATTCCCTCTAACAATGCAGGATTGGCATCCTAACAATGCAGGATTTTCCTGCTAAAAGAGCAGGACTTTCCTCCTAAAAGTGCAGGATTTTCCACAAAAAAATGCAGGATTTTCCTCCTAAAAGTGCAGTATTTTCATCTTAAAAGTGCAGGATTTTCCTGTTAAAAAACCCAGAATCTTCCTGTTACAGGAACAGGATTTTCTTGTTAAAAAACCAGGATTTTCCTTTAAAAGAGCAGGATTTTCCTCCTAAAAATGCAGGATTTTCCTGTTAAAAAAACAGAATCTTCCTGTTACAGGAACAGGATTTTCTTGTTTAAAAAAACAGGATTTTTCTTTAAAAGAGCAGGATTTTCCTGTTGAAAAAACAAGACTTTCCCCTTGGAGGAGCAGGATTTTCCTGATTAAAAAAAACAGGATTTTCCCCTTGGAAAAACAGGATTTTCCTCTTAAAGGAGCAGGATTTTCCTCTTTAAAGTGCAGGATTTTCCTGTTAAAGAGGGAAATCCTGTTCTTTTAACAGGAAGATCCTGCACTTTAAAGAGGAAAATCCTGTTCTTTTAAAGTGCAGGATTTTTCTCTTAAAAGATCTGGATTTTCCTCCTTAAAGTGCAAGATTCTCCTGTTTAAAAAATCGAATTTTCCTGTTAAAAGAGCAGGATTTTCCAGAGGAATGGAGCAGATGTGCTTGTGGGGTATCCAGGGAAGCAGGGATGCTCTAAGGGTGAAGAATCCCAAATTCAAATAATTAAAGTGTCGAGCTCAGCACCTTTTCCTGATTTAAATTCCAAGTTTTTGTGCCCTCAACTGAGGAATCAGGGCAGCTCCCAGCACCCCAGAGCAGAATTCCAAATCCAGCACAGCCATTCCCAGGTGGATTTGGGAAGCTGGGATTTGTTGGCTGGGAAGTTTTTTCCCCCACACAGGTGCCAGTGCATTTATTTACATCATTCCCTCCGGTGAAATCCATGAAAATTCCATTCTGGATAAAGCTTAAAATCCATTTTTTACATTTTCTCCAGCCTGGACATGGAGATTCATGGGGTCACCATAAAGCCTGGGGGGATCTGCTGAGATATTTCCAAACTCGAATTAAAAGAAATTCCTTTAAAACTTGGAACAAAGCTTCCTCAGGGCTGGAATTGTGTTGCACGAATGAAAATATATTCCAGTGTTTTTTGTTGTTTTTTTTTTTTCTGTGAGGATTAACTTGTGGATTGTGTTCCAGGAGGAGCTGCTGCATTCCACCATCACCCCCAGCAAATCCCGGGATGCTCCAGGCTTGGAAAACTCTGGCAACCAAATCCCCAATTCCAGCAGAGCTCCGTGGACACGCCAGGAAAAAGGGGAGCAGCAGGAAAAGCAGGAGGAGCAGCAGGAAAAACAGCAGGAGGAGCGGGAAAAGCAGCAGGAGCAGCAGGAAAAGCAGGAGGAGGAGCAGGAAAAGCAGGAGGAGGAGCAGGAAAAGCAGGAGGAGGAGCAGGAAAAACAGGAGGAGGAGCAGGAAAAGCAGGAGGAGGAACAGGAAAAGCAGCAGGAGGAGCAGCAGGAGCAGGAGCCGAGCTCAGGGAGTGGCCCTGGCCCTCCTGAGGATGAGGAGGGGATGGGAGGCTCCGGGCATTCCCTGGGTGCCGATCCCTGCGATCCCACGGGCTCGGAAACGAATCCTGGAGGAGCCACTGAGGAAAGGGAGCGAGGCCAGGAGCCCCCTGAGCGCTCCGGAAAAGAGGAGAGGGAGAAGGAGGAGGAGAAGGAGGAGCTGGAGGATGAAATGCCCTTCCTGGGCCCTGTGGATTTGGTGCTGTCCGAGAGCAGCGATGCCGAGATGGAATCTGAGCACAATCCGGGCAGTTCGGTGACTCCAGAGGAGCCGGCTGCTCCTGAACACGAGCCCGTGCCCAGCCCCACCTCGCTGGCATCGCCGTGTCCCCACAGATCGTCCCCAGCTGTGTCCCACGGGGCTGGGCCTGACCCTGGGGACACCTCACCCAACCAGGACGGGCTCCCAAATCCCCGGGATGTTCCGGACACGCCGGATCCAGAGACCAGCAGCGCTGGAGTGGCCGGACCAGCCGAGCTGGGGACACCCCACGGGGACAGTGTGGGGCTGCTGTGCCCCCCTGAGCCCAGCCCTGTGCCCAGGGCTCAGCCTGGCAGCGTTCCAGACAGCCCAGCACACCCCGGGAAACTCCGGGAGCCTGCCGGGAGCACGGAGAGTCCCCGCGGGCCGGGATCGACCCTGAGCCTGTCCCCACACCCCAGCTCGCCGTGCCTGGGCCCTCCCCATGGATCCCTGCACCCCGGGGCTGCTCCGGAGGATCGGCACAAGGACAGAGGCCGGGCCGAGGCTGATCCCGAGGAGTCAGAGCCAGGGGGGCACGGGGCTGTGGTGGAAGAGCAGCAGGGGAGCCCCCATGCCCAGTGCAGGGAGGAGCTGGGTGATGCCATGGGGACACGGGATGGCCGGGACTCGCCCTTGCCCTGCACGGACACGGGAGGTGACTGCAGGGCTGAGCACAGGGAGGATGAGGCAGAGAATTCCCCTGGGAATGACACAGAGATCCCTGTCTGTCACCTCCTGGAGTCAGAGCCCCCCTCCTCCAGCAGGGAGGAGATCTCAGCCATCGAGGAGCTGCCCAGGCAGCACCAGAACATCCCAAACACCACCAGAGACTCAGCTCAGAACATCCCCAACATCCCCAGGGACTCAGATCAGAACATCCCAAAAATCCCCATGGACTCAGCTCAGATCATCCCAAACATCCCCAGGGACTCAGCTCAGAACATCCCCAACATCCCCAGGGACTCAGATCAGAACATCCCAAAAATCCCCATGGACTCAGCTCAGATCATCCCAAACATCTTCAGAGACTCAGACTCAGCTCAGATCATCCCAAACATCCCCATGAACTCGGCTCAGAACATCCCAAACATCTTCAGAGACTCAGACTCAGCTCAGAACATCCCAAACACCACCATGGACTCAGGCTCAGCTCAGAACAGCTCCATGGACTCAGACTCAGCCCAGACCACCCCCATGGACTCAGGCTCAGCCCAGACCACCCCCATGGGCTCGGTCTCAGCCCAGACCACCCCCATGGGCTCGGTCTCAGCCCAGACCACCCCAGGCAGCCCCGGAGCTCGTGCCCGAGCCTGTCCCGCGGTTGTGGCCGTGCGGGACTCGGTGCTGTGCCGTCTCTGGAAGCCGGGCCGGGCCGGGGGAGCTGCCCAGCTCAGCGTGGCTGCCTGGAGCCTGGATGGCTCCTTCCATCCCAGCTTCTCCCAGGAGCTGATCCAGCCCCCAGCTCCCTGCTCCCCCCGGGATGTGTCAGTGCCAGCAGAGCCGGGATCTGCTCCTCCTTCCCCGGGTGATCCATGGGGTGAGCCGGGGGCTGCAGAGCCGGGGTCACCCCTCCCTGAGGGGCTCCCTGAGATGCTGCCTCCCACTCTGGACAATTCCCAGTGCTCTGGGAGCCGTGGAAGCCCCAGGAGCTATGGCAGCCCCAGGAATTTTGGCAGCCCCAGGAGTTTTGGCAGTCCCAGGAGCCATGGAAGCCCCAGGAGTTTTGGCAGCCCCAGGAATTGTGGAAGTCCCAGGAGCTGTGGCAGCCCCAGGAGTTTCGGAAGCCCCAGGAGCCATGGAAGCCCAAGGAGTTTTGGCAGCCCCAGGAGTTTTGGCAGCCCCAGGAGTTTTGGCAGCCCCAGGAGTTTTGGAAGCCCAAGGAGCTGTGGCAGCCCCAGGAGTTTCGGAAGCCCCAGGAGCCATGGAAGCCCAAGGAGCTGTGGCAGCCCCAGGAGCCCGGCTGGGGATGCCGGGGGAAGCCCTGCAGAGGAGCCCTTTCCCCCTGAGGATCTGGAAGCTGGCAGCATTCCCAGCCCTGCCCCTTTCCCAGGCCCGGAATGTCCCCTGTGTGAGCCCTGGGATGTGTGTGAGCACAACCCCGAGGAATCCCCGGCATTCCCTGATCCCGACTGTGCCGAGGTGGGAGAGGGAGAAATTCCCGCTCCTCCCATTCCAGCATCACCGTGGGATGAGCACGGGGATCCCTCCGGAGAAGCCCTGGAGCTCAGTGATGCCGAGGGTGTCTCACACGTGCTCCCAGCAGAGGACACACATGAGGGCTTGGCCTTTGAAGATCCCTTGGAGAATTCCTTTGGTGACTCCGAGCAGGAATATTTTGAGGGCAATTCTCGCTCCTCGTTTCCAAGCAGGAGCTGCTGCATCGTGAGATCCGTGGACGCTGCCGGAGCAAGGACTAAGCGGGACAGCTCGTCCAGGAGCTCGCTGCACTCCCAGGACTGGGACTGCCACATGCCCAGGGATTCCAGGAGCTTTGTGGTCACCAGGCAGTGCCAGGAGAGGATGGAGAATTTCCCCCTTCCCAAAAGGCGCGGCCACCGTGCCCAGGAACGTCACCTGGGGCGGTCCCTGCTGGGGAGCTGGCGGGGCTTGGAGGAGATGACGCAGAGCACGTTGGACATGGAGTGTCTGCGCTTCCATCACAAGCTGAAGGAAATCCTGAGGAGCGGCAAACCCTCCTTTTCTACCTCCAAGAGCATCTTCCCCACCGCCCCCGTCCCGCTGTCCCCACGCAGCAGGAGCCCCTTGCAGGTGACAATTCCGCCCTCGGACACGTGGCCGGGGGAGCTGCAGCGGCCCAGGGAGTTTTGGGCCAGCAGGAGGAGCAGGTCCCGGGCCCGGAGCCGCGATCCCAGAGCTGCCCTTCACCTTGGGAAGCTGCGCTGCGAGCACACAGCGCCCGAGCCGCGCGGGGACATCAGCGGCATCCTGGACGAGTATTCCCAGTTCCACAGGGTGCTCCTGGCCACGCCTGAGGCCACCAGGGACCCCCCAGCGCTGGGAGAGGCCGGCAAAGGCCGGGCTGGGATGGGCCAGCCCAGCAGGGTGGGGCCAGCAGCGATGGTGGCCGAGCTGTGCGGGGCCCTGCGCTCCCAACTGCGCCGCGTGGCTGCCAGGACACGGCCCGGAATGTTCTACCTGCTGGAGACCGCCAAGGAGCCCTTCTTCGACACCGTGAAGGTAGGAGCTGCTCCTGGGCACAGCTGGGGGTGGCAGGGACGGGGAAACTCGGGCAGCCTGGCAGGGATGGTCCCATAAGCCAGGAGCCACCCCATGGAATCATTGAGGTTGGGATTGAGTCGCTGGAGATTGATGGAATGGTGCGGGTGGGAAGGGACCTTAAGGATCATCCCATTCCCACCTCATGGACACCTCTCACTGTCCCAGGCTGCTCTGCCTGGCCTTGGACACTACCAGGGATCAGCTTCCCTGGGAATTCCATCCCAGCCCCTCCCCACCTTCCCAGCCAGCAATTCCTTCCCAATCTAAAAGGGAAAAGTAGATTTAAATGGAATTCCTGTCCCATCTAAAACCACTCTGCTTGAGTTTGAAGCCCAACCACCCCCAGCTCTGCCAAGGCCACATGCACAGGGCTCGGGAATCCCTGCAGGGATGGGGATCCCCATTGCCCTGGGCAGCTTTCCCCTTATTCCCAGGAAATCCCCCCATCCCTGCTGTGTTGCAGGCCCTGCTGAAGGCAGAGGGGTTTGTGAGGACGGAGCCCCCGAATTTCTGCGGAGCCAAAGGCGAGGACAGCGAGCGGCTGCTGGTGATCGTCAGGAACCAGGACATCTCCTCCCACATCCACACTGTGAGCCTTCATCCCTCCCCCCCCTCCTCCTCCTCCTCCTCCTCCTCCTCCCCTCAGCACTGGGCTGCAGCCCACGAGCCTTCCAGAAAAACCTGGAGAATGCAGCTCAAATCGGGCAGTGAGGTTGGGCTTCCCTGACAGATTCCAGGGAATGTTTCATCCCTCTGCTCAGCCTTGGGGTTGGGATGGGGACAGGAATGTTGGGATGGGCTCCCTGGGTCTGGCAGCTGTTCCTAATCCCTGTTCCTGGGTCTGGGAACTTTTCCTAACCCCTGTTCCTGGATTTGGGAGCTGTTCCTGGATTTAGGAGCTGTTCCTAACCCCTGTTCCCAACCCCTGTTCCTGGAGCAGGTGCCCTGCCTGCTGCAGCTGAAGCTCTGTCCCAGTGTGGTGTTTGCTGGTGTGGATGATCCCCAGGATGTGACAAGTGACACATTCCAGGAGCTCTTCCAGGCTGGAGGCTTCGTGGTGTCTGATGAGGAGCTGCTGGAGAGGGTGACCCTGGGTGAGTCTCTGACACATTCCCAAATCTTTCCCTTGGCTCTGTTTCCAGTGGGGAATTCTTGCCCTCTGTCCCCTTCCCATTAATCCTGAGCTCTTCTGTCCCCTCCAGGTCCCTTTCCCATTAATCCTGAGCTCTTGTGTCCTCTCCATGTCCCTTTCCCATTAATCCCTGGCCTTTTTTGTCCCTCCGTGTCCCTTTCCCATTAATCCCTGGCTCTTTCTGTCCCTCCATGTCCCCCTTTCCTATTTTTCCTGAGCTCTTGTGTCCCTCCAGGTCCCCTCCCCATGAACCCGTGTCCCTTTGTCCCCTCAGGCCAGCTGCAGGACGTGGTGAAGGTTCTGGAGCAGCTCAACAGGAATGGGAGGTGGAAGTGGCTCCTGCACCACAGGGAGAGCAAAAAGCTCAGAGGAGACCTCAGGTGAGGGGTCCTGCCTGGGAATTGGGGATTTTTGGGGTGGAGCAGCAGGACTTGGGGCCTGGAATGTTGTCCTGGATGTGATCCTGGATGAGGCAGAGCTCTGGCAGCTCTCCTTGCTCCCTGCTGGGCTTCCAGAAGGTTCTCCTTGGCACGGGGGGTGCTGCAGGCTCCTGCAGAGGCACAGATTTCCCTCGAGGAGCTGCACATTCCCAAAAATCCCAAAAGCAAATTTCCCTGCCTGCCCAGCAGCTCATCCCAGCTCCTGGACGAGCTCGGGGCTCCTTCCTGGGGCTCTGCCCCCTCTGGGATTTGGGGAGGGGATTTCAGGGGGCCCTAAGCTGGGGATGCAGAGAGGGAATGACTCAAATTCCCACCAGGAATGGTTGAAGGTGGAGCTGCTCTGGCCTGGGCTCATCCATGGCTCTCCCTGAAGTGAGAAATTCCTGGGCTGGGATGAAGTTTAACAGGGAAAGGAAAAACTGGGAAAGCCAAGGAATCCATCCCCAGGAAAGTCTCTGCCAACATCCCCTCGTCCTTGGCTGTGACTCCAGGCTCTGGAATGTTCCCTGGCCCTGTGGCCGTGCCCTGGGCCCCCAAACCCTGCTGGGGTGAGGGAGGAGCAGCCTTGGCTTCTCCAAACCCTGCTCCAGCAACAACAAAACTCCCCTGACTTTGCACAGCTCCCAGCACAAATCCCAGAAACAGCCCCTGAGGTGAAAAGGAACCAAAACCAGCACAGGCAGTCCTGGAGCAAATTCCTGCAGGGAATTTGTCACTTTTGATCCATACAGAGCAGCAAAAGTCACCTGTGGGGCTGGAAAAAACACCTGGAAGGGCAGATCCCATCCTGCCTGCTCATTCCCTGACAGGGAATGTTGAGGCTTATTTTTATTTTCCAGAGTTGGGATTAAATGCTCAAGACTTGTTCAGACTCAGATGTTTATTAATTCTTACCTATATTACAGTCTCACAAAGTGTGAGTTCTGCAGCACTTCAAGCTAACAAACTAAAAATGAAGCTTTCATTTTCCTCTCTACAGAGCATTTTAAGGGTAAATTGTCCAATTAAGAAAAGCCACCTAAATTATTTTTACTTTTAACCCAATAACCAACCACCTGTGGTCCACAATGTGGATTTTTCTGTCCAATCACAAAATCCCACCTAGACCATGAAGAAGGAGGTGAAAAAGGAAAACAAAACATCCATCCTGAAATCTCCATCTTGCTATATATATATTATTATATTCTAAAACCTTAAATTCTGAGTTTTCCACCCTATGATATCACACACTTCTATTCAAACTACACACCCGTGGTGCCAGTTCTGCCATTTAATTTTGGAAGCTTTCTCCCTGGCCTCAGTGTTCTCCTGGGGGTCAGCACAGAAAGTCTCCGGGTCTCAGTGGCCACAGTTGGAGCAGGGCCCCTGGGCTGAGCCGTGCCCTGTGCCTGTGCCAGCAGGGCCGATGCCGATGCCCAGAGGAAGCGGCTGCTGCTCCGCTGGTGCCAGGGGGAGGAGCTGCTGGAGCTGCTGCCCTTCCACGGCTGCGACTCCGGCCCGGCTCCCGAATGGCGGCGGGTGCAGTGCCTGCAGGAGCTGCACGTGCAGCACATCCACGCCAGGTTCGCCGTGTTTCTCACAGGTGAGGGCATCCCAAACCCTTCCCGCTCTGGAATGGCCCTGGAAAGGGGTGGGGGAGGGATGAACAATCCCTGTTTTCCTGCTGTTGCCGCGGGAATCGCTTCTTGGAGGTGTGAGCGGTGAAGGCAAATGGGATTTTGGAGGTTGATGGATTCCAGCGGGTTTTGGAGCCTGTGGGTGGCTGAGGCTGTTGGCAAAGCAGCTGAGCAACCCCAGTGGGATTTGAGGATATTTCCCACACTTTATTTAGGGAAATATCCCGAATTTCAAAATTGGTTTGGATTTACGGAGCTGCTGCTCCTCCCCTTGCAGAGAATCCCGGCAGCAGCAGCAGCAGGGAAATCCTGGAAAGCAAAGGAATTCTCGTGGCTGACATCAACACCTTCCTGGGGACGGTGCAGAAAGTGGCTGCTCCCTTTAGAAGAAGTTACTGGTAAGGGGGAAAAGCTTGGGATTGATCCCAAAAAATCTCAGGTTTGTCTGTGGGATCCCAGCAGGGATCCTGCAGCAGAGCAGGGACCATCCCAAAGTGCTGGATCTGGGATCTGCCAGCGCTCAGGGATGACTCCTGCAGCTGGATCAGGCAGAGCCACGTTTGGCACTGCTGGAAAATGGCAAAAACTCCAGGCCTGGCCCTGGGGAAGCCGTGCTGGGGGCTGGCACTGCCCAGGGGGAGCTGGGCTCTCACCTGGGCCACATCTTTGTGTTGCAGGTGACAAAGCGAGGACGCGAGGACACAGCTCCTCCCCAGGCCCTGTGACACCAGTTTGGGCATCCCAGTCCTGCTGGGAACATCCCCACACTCATCCCAGTGGATCCCCACACTCATCCCAGTGGATCCCAGCTGCTCCTGGGGGTGGGGGAAGGTCGGTTTAAGCTCTGTACAGAAATTTTATTTAAAGGTGGGAAATGCAAATCCTCGGGGGATTCATTCCCTGCCGTCCTGCCTCCCACGGGGAGGGTTCTTCTAACGGTACAGGTAAATTATTGGAGTGGCTCCAGGTCTCTGGTGGAGCTGCTGTTGGAACAGACAAATTAATTTCCTAAAATGGACTTGAAGGTTAAGGAATGAGGATAAATAAACAACGTGGTTTTTGCTGTCCAGGCCCACACTACATTTCAGCTCATCCCTGCTGCTTCGTGGTACCAGATCCCTGCTGGGACATTCCAGCACGTGGAGTCCTTGTAAATACAGGAAGCTGGGATGCAGGAACAAATAAGCTCTTATTTATGGGAGGAAAAGCCCCATTCCCAACCCAGCTCCACAGGGCAGGGGCGTCCTTTGAGTTCTTTTTAAATCCCAGACTGCCAGGCCGTTGTGTACAGGATGACTTTGTAAAGAGTTTGATTAATAAAACCTCCAAAATAACGAATTTCACACAGCTCTGCTTTCTGGAGAGAAAGGAATCCTGCTCAGCATCCAGCATTTTCCAACAGGGAAAGGGAGGGCAGGGGATTTTCCAGCTGGGACAGAGGTTGGGAATCAGCAAGGAGTGAGCAATGGTTGGCTCCTGGCTGCTGGATCCCATCGCAGGAAGGATGGAATAACCAGAGGGAGAACCAGGCTACAGCAGGTAGGGATAATGGGATCAGTTAAGGATTTATTTTCCACTTGCACTGGGTCTGGTTTGTGGGCACTGCATGGGGAGAACTCCCAGCAGCTGAGGGTGGGAAGTGCTCCTGGAAGTGGCACCTCGGGAGCAGGAGGAGGTCCCAGAATCCCTGTCCGGGCAGAGGGGGAGAGGCCCCAGGCAGGCTCAGCTTTGGGGATCAAAGCCCCGTTCTGTGAGGGAAGGCCCTGCCCCTGAGGCACCCTGGGGAGCTGCTCCAGGCTTCTCCTCAGCTCCCAGGGAATCGGGAAGGATCGCTCTGGGCTGGAACATCTCGTGTTCAGGAAATTCCAAAGCAGGAATTATTCCTTGCTGTGGCACTGGGGTGGCTGCAGGGAACAGGGACAGAAACACGGAACCAGGAAATGTTTTCCAGCAGGAAAGGCTCGGCCCCGGCAGGCAGAGATCCTGCAGGATGCCAGCCTGGAGCTGCTGCTCCACAAGTGAAGTGAATCAGACCAGAGGCCAGGACTGGTTTCCAGAGTTTGGCTTTACTTCGCAGTACAGAAATCATCTGGAGCCTTGAGGAGACACGAGAAGCACAGGCTCTGTCATGCCGATACCGCAGCGCCGCTTGGTCCATCCGAGAGGCCACCAGGGGACAGAAAATACTTCCACATCTTGCCTGCTCTGTAATTTGTTCTCTCAATTTTATTAAGATTAAAACACAAAGGAGCCTTAGGCACAGCTGTGTCCCAACCGATGTAAACAGGTTTAGAAGCTTAAGTGGAGGTTAAGTTCTGTGCCCAGAACGAAGCCAACATTTGCTGCTACAATAGGTGTGGGCTTTGTCCATGATACAACTTTGCCACAGAGTTAAGATTGATGGGAGAGAGACTTTTAGGGATGCTGTCCACAATAATGGAGTGCTCAGTTTCTATTTTCCTTGATATCAGGTTTGAGTGACATCTCAGCGTCACATCTACGAGCTCACCAGAAGCACAGGGTTGTGAAGGATGTTTTACAAATGATTAAAAAGACAAGGTAAGACACAGCTGTCAATGAGTTATTTCAAATCTGCACCCACGTCTACGTCTGCAAAAATAATAATAATAATATTAAGTTCAGTCTGCCTTTCAGCTTACGAGGTTAGTCAGGAATCAGTCAGGAATTTGCCAGATTCTGGACAGCAGCCCTACTAGAATGAAATAATTAACACATGATATCCAAAAAGGGAACATTACCAGTGCAGTACTCTTCAATCTCTCAGAGATGGGATTACAAAAGCAGGCCTTACAATATTGAATTTCGTACAGTGTTCATTAAGTTCCTTATATATTCTTATTAGCCGATTTAAACTCCTCCTAATTAGAGACTCTCATTACTGCTGCTCCTCCTCCCCGTAGATGTCGTTTTTCTTGCGTTTCATCTCCTCGAAGTCGAACTCTGATCCCATCATCCTCTTATAAATATCTTTGATGTCGTCGCACGTCGTCTCGAAGTGGGTGGTGGCGTCGTAGGTGCGCGAGATGAAGATCTGGAAGCAGAGGCAGCACAAGTTGGAGCCCCGAGCTGGAGCCTGTCCCCTCCCAGCCCACCTCACCCGCAGTCACCTGGCTCTCAGTGCCCAGGTCGGTCGGTGCAAACAGGTCACTGATGCTCACAAACCTGCAAAAGGGACAGAAAGCCTCAGGCTGCTGGGGAAAACTCGGCTCCAGTTTGGCTTCTGGCAGCCAAAAGGTTCCGGCTGCCCCGGCAGAGAGGGAGGGGCTCGCTGGGCACTGACTTCTGCTCAATGGGCTCCAGGAGGTCCAGGGCCGGCTTGATCTCCTTCTCGGGGTCTGCAGTCTCCACGGTGGTGCTGGCGATGGCGATGTACTTGCCCTGCGCCGCCACGTTGTGAGCAGAGGAGATCATGCACACGTAGATGTCTGTGGGGACAGGCCACAGCTGCAGCCTCAGCCCAAAACCTCCTGAGCCTCAGCCCAAAACCTCCTGAGCCTCAGCCCAAAACCTCCTCAGCCTCAGCCCAAAACCTCCTGAGCCTCAGCCCAAAACCTCCTGAGCCTCAGCCCAAAACCTCCTCAGCCTCAGCCCAGAACTGGTTCAGCCTCAGCCTAGAACCTTCTCCAGCCTCAGCCCAAAACCTCCTCAGCCTCAGCCCAGAACTGCTTCAGCCTCAGCCCAGAACCGGCTCAGCCTCAGCCCAAAACCTCCTCAGCCTCATCCAGAACTGCTTCAGCCTCAGCCCAGAACCTTCTCCAGCCTCAGCCCAGAACTTCCTCAGCCTCAGCCCAGAACCTGCTCAGCCTCAGCCCCAAACCTTCTCCAGTATCATCCCAAAACCTCCTACAGCATCATCCCAAAAGCTCCTCAGCCCCACCCCAAAAACCACCTCAGCCCAAAACCTTCTCCAGCCTCAGCCCAAAAACCCCCTCAGCCTCAGCCCAAAACCTCCTCCATGCTCATCCCAAAAACTCATCACCTCATCCCAAAATCTCCTCAACTCCATCCAAAAAACCTCCTCAGCCTCACCCCAAAGCCCTGCCCACCCCTGTTCCTGCTGCCCTGGCAGCCCCTGCACTGTTCAGAGAAGCTGCAGTGAGTCCCATCCTTGCCCTCCCATCTCCTGCACATGCAGATCCCCACAGTTCCATTTCCCAGGCTGGCTCCATGGTGAAACCCGGTGGGGTCCCAGTGCTCTGGCCCAGGCTGAGGCAGCCCCTCACCCCTCACCCCTCACCCCTCACCCCTCTCTCCCAGTCCGGGCACTTCCCGCCGCAGGTTCCAACCACAGGCTCCTCCCCCAGCTGCTCTGAAGCGAGCTCAGCCTCGCTGGCTGAAATCTAAAACCCCTAAAATCCCCTGGAGCAGACCACGAGGTGTCCACTTCCCTCACCCCGAGAGAGGCCGGGGAAGCAGCGCTGGCCCAGCCCAGGTGGGGAGAGCTGCCCTGCACACACCTGATTTCCGGTTGACCTGGTTCTGTGGAATGATGATCTGGCACGAGTTGGCATCGTTGGTGTTCTTGATGGGGTGGCTCAGGATGCAGATGACCCGGATCACCTGGCCCACCTTGGTCACACGGTCTGACACGTAGCTGGGGTCACAGATGAGCTGTTTGCAGCGAGCCACCTGAGCACCAAAATCACCCAGTTCACATCCAAAACCGATTTTCCGGGAAGAATTTAACATTTGATCAATGTGAAGCCTCCAGGCTGCACTGTGGTCTCTAGCATGGACTGTCAGCTCTGCTCCAGTCAGGAGCACAGGCACAGCTCCCGAGCAGCTGCAGCATTCCCAGTTTGCTCCAGCGGGAAGGCCACGGGCCAGCTGTCACACAAGGAACTGCTCGCTGCCAGCCCATGGAGACTTCATCCCAACTCCTGGAGCAGGGATGCTGAGGACTCTGGCCTCAGGGAGCACAGCCCCTTAAAAAGCCCTTAGAAAGGGTTTTCTGTGTGTCTGTTGTGATCAAGCCCCACAAATGTGGGTTGTGTGGGGCAGGTGTGGGGCGGGGAGCAGGGAAGGGGGGAAGGGTCCGTACCTCCCCCTCAGACTTGACCCCGACCACTTTGCCGTTCTCGATGACGATCTCCTCGATGGGCTTGTTGAGCATGTAGGTGCCTCCGTAGATCGCACTGAGCCTGCAACAGCAACAGCCCCTCAGCACCTCCAGGGCTGCATCTCAACAGCCCTGCAGCCCCGGGGCTGCTGCACCTGGATAAACCCCGCCTCAGGCTCCAAGCCCTCAATCCTCTGCTTAAACACTGGGGACAAATGCTCTGCCAACAGCACCTCTGAGCAAATCCACAGGAAAACAAACCACAAAGAAAGAACTCACATGGAGGAACCAACCACCTCTTAATGAAGTGAGAAAAACATTAAGGACCACAGCATTTTATGCAGCATCACATTCTGGGTGCTCAAGCACTGACTCCACACACNGCTCCACACATCCAACTCCACACATCCAGCTCCACACACACAGCTCCACACATCCAGCTCCACACACACAGCTCCACACATCCAACTCCACACACACAGCTCCACACATCCAGCTCCACACATCCAGCTCCACACACACAGCTCCACACATCCAACTCCACACATCCAGCTCCACACATCCAGCTCCACACATCCAACTCCACACATCCAGCTCCACACATCCAACTCCACACATCCAGCTCCACACCATCCAACTCCACACATCCAGCTCCACACATCCAACTCCACACATCCAGCTCCACACATCCAACTCCACACACACAGCTCCACACATCCAACTCCACACACACAGCTCCACACATCCAACTCCACACATCCAACTCCACACCATCCAGCTCCACACATCCAACTCCACACCATCCAGCTCCACACACCCAGCTCCACACCATCCAACTCCACACACCCAGCTCCACACACCCAGCTCCACACCATCCAACTCCACACCATCCAGCTCCACACACCCAGCTCCACACCATCCAGCTCCAAACACCCAGCTCCACACACCCAGCTCCACACATCCAACTCCACACCATCCAGCTCCACACCCCACTGGAGAAAACCCAGAGTCAAACCAAGGGCTCACCTTGCAAATCCCTGGGGCAGCTCTCCAAGGCCATAGAGGGGGTACAGGTAGGGGCTTTTCCCATATCGAGCCAGTGACTCGCTGTACAGCTTGATCCTGTTGATTGTTTCTTGGCAGGGTTGATCTAGATAGCTGGGAAGGACAGTTACACCGTTTGGGATGTTTCCCAAAGCAGCACTTCCAGCAGAATACACTGGAAAGCAAAACATGGACTTCCCATGACGGTTCC